TACCATTTTGAGTAAAATTTTGACACTTCCGCCGGCCGCAGCTGTCAAAATTCTTTCTTTTCGTTGTTATTACGACGGTAGTTTGGTGTAAGTTCTTATGTTCAATATAATTTAGCATTTGTACAGCCATCATTGTTTATTTTGRMGAGTTAATAATGAAAATGTGTAGGGCATAATGTGGCACACACGATTAAAGTGAAATTTTGACGGTTTTACACAGTTTGTCGTGTGCAAGGCAACTCGCAAAAATAAACAAATGCAACACGAATGCAAAATGAAATAGAAAAGTTGCTAATCAATGGAATTGTTTTACGTATCCACAGCCCACACAACCAATCAAAATGAAATTGAACAAGTTTGTGTCGTCGTCGCGCAGGAAGAACCGCAAGCGCCACTTCCAGGCCCCGTCACACATCCGCCGTCGCCTGATGTCCGCCCCTCTGTCCAAGGAGCTGCGTCAGAAGTACAACGTGCGCTCGATGCCCATTCGTCGTGACGATGAGGTTCAGGTGATCCGCGGCCACAACAAGGGCAGCCAGGTCGGCAAAGTTGTCCAGGCCTACCGCAAGAAGTTCGTCGTCTACATTGAGAAGATCCAGCGTGAGAATGCGAACGGCACCAACGTCTACGTTGGCATCCACCCCAGCAAAGTTTTGATTGTTAAGCTGAAGCTGGATAAGGATCGCAAGGCCATTCTGGAGCGTCGCAGCAAGGGACGTCTGGCTGCTCTGGGCAAGGACAAGGGCAAATACACGGAAGAGACTGCCGCTCAGCCCATGGAGACGGCGTAAATGCTCCCTCCCAAGCACCTAACAYCAACAACAACAACTGTTATTTGTGTGCAGCAGCAGCAACAAAAACAACAACGACGTCGCTGTTTACAGTTTTTTACCGTAACGCTTAGTGTCAATGAGAATTGGAAGATATTGTGTGAAGTGAGAAAATGCCGCAATTCTTTTACAATAAAGAAGAGTTGAATTTTCCCAAAATTTGTAAATTACAAATCTATTTATTTTGTTTCTTTGGTTTTGTGTATATAAAATGCTTAAATTTAAGTATTTAAAGCTGAGCTTAAAACAGAAACTGGAACTGGAGCTGGAGTAATCCTTGGCTGGAGTAATCCTTGGCTCCAGTCTGTTGGAACTGAATTCCGACCGGATACTCTGAACTAAGGAATACTCTCATGTTAATGCATCTGAGTAAAAAAAAAATGTACCAAAATAGATACGGTCTGGTGCTCAGCTGCATTTCATTATTTATTTATTATCAACCAGTGTCCCAGTAAAATACTTTGCTGTAATAGTCCTCATAATTGAAGATTTACAAGGGCTCAAAAATGTTAATATCGTTCATCGATATAGTTTGCCTTGGGCAGACTGTCTGCAAGTCAAT